GAAAAGTACACTGATTCATACCAACTTTACTACATGAATACCAGTTTCAACCAAAGTTTATTGTCCTTATCTACACATACAACAGGAATGTCCAACACACATTCAGGAATATTAAATGAACTGCCCTTGACCTCCATGTTTTTTTTATCTGGGCACTGTCAGTGCAACTGCACATCGCGTGGCCAAAGAGCATGAACTAATTTGGTAACAAAATAAGCGATTATTATATATAGGTATTTGTTTATAACTTCAGGTCACGTACGAGATAGGCTATTTCTCCAATCCTCTCTCTCTCTCTCTCTCTCTCTCTCTCTCTCTCTCTCTATTCTTATTTTCGTCCCTCTATCTATCTATAGATCTGTCTATCTCTCACGCTCGTTCTTTCACACACACCAACGCACACACACACACACACACACACACACACACACACACACACACACACACACACACACACACACNCGTTACAGAGCCCTGTAAGGAAAGGACGTGCTGGAAGGAAAGGACGTGAGACACATAAATAAATATAGACATGATATTTCCTCCAAGTACTGCCCGTGCAACTGCACTTCTAGTATGTTTAGGGATATATAGAAATGGCACACCACACGTACAAATAACATAAACAAATTTGTTAGGAAAATTGTCTATTATTCCTATCATTGCATTGCTTCATGTCACATAATTATGAGATAGTCCCTCTTTCCTCCTCTCTCTTTTCCCCCGCTCTCCCTCCCCCTCTCTCTATCCCTCCACCCTCTCTCTCTCTCTCTGTTTCTCTCTCTCTGTCTCTCCCTCCCCTTCTCTTTTTTTTGCGCATGCGTGTGCGTGTGCCTGTGGAGCATGAATGTATGCGAGTGAGTGCATGCGTATAATTAAATATTTTAAATATGCGTAGGCTTAAAATGATTTCCATTTCCTTTATCATGATAAGTTGAATTTTTCTATTCATTTTCATGTCAAATTCTTAACACTTTAAGCAAACGGAAAAACGTATTTGATCATCTTTATGCGTAATCTCTTCCACAAATGAATAATTTAGACAATTTATTTAGACGGATTGATGTGGTTTTTAGGAGTCGTACCAATGCATTTAATTGAATTAACAATGACAAATAATTAATTAAATTATTCAAACAGATAGATGTGGTTATTAGGTGTCCGAGTCCTACCAATTAATGAAATGATACATTGTTTTATAAGATTAATAAAGCATTAGCGCGAGAGATTTAGTGAAAAAATTGCAAACAATATGCAGGTTAGAATATCTTTCGTAGGTTTAACAGTGATGAAACGATTCGTCAAATTGTAGTTAGTCGTGCCATGTTACAGTTATCGCTATACAGACTAGAACAGTCCATCAGTTTGTTTGAAAGACAAACAAAGAAATAAAAAAGGAAGACTGGCGCTCTCTATAATAAAAGTGTTTATATTGAATATACACTTTCCACTGTTACACAGCGTCAACAGCATTTGATGAACAGCTCTTTCCATAATCGAGACAAATTTATTTAATATATATTCCCCAGTTAAAAATCCAACACCTATATAAAATTAATGACTACAAAAGGAATGAAAATTTTATGGCTTGTGAGCCGAGCTATTTGATTACCTTAAGCAACAGCAAAATAACTTGTACTGTTTTCTCCTTTTATTGCGGTTGCGTTTATCGTGCAATAGCTCTAATCTTAAAAGGAAGCGGATACTGCACAAGACCGTCGGTTCTACCGACAGGGAAAGCTGTGACGCCCTCTGGTAGCTCAAATGTGAAACGCTGCAACAGATTCGCCATGACAGTAAACATCATGTCACGAGCGAGTTGCATGCCGGGACATATTCGGAAGCCGTTACCAAACAGCATAATATTTTTATCCGGTGCCACGACGACTCCGTTCTCATCCAGATACCTAGACGGGTCAAACTTCTGCGGCTGTGGGAAATTGATGGGATTCATAGCCATCTTGGCGTGGTTGGCCATTAGAACGGTATCCTTGGGTATGTCAAAGCCTCCTAAGGTGGTATCAGACAATGCGCCACGTACACCAGGCATCGGGAGAATCATTCCTACACGCTGGATCTCCCAAAGCGTAGCCTCCAAGTAGGGCATGTTGCGGCGATCCTTCGTCGTCGGCGCTCTGCCGCTGCCGACGACCTCGTCGATCTCAGCCTGCAGCTTCTTCTGCACGTCTGGATTCTGCACAAGCAGCTGAATGCCCCAGTTGGTGTTGGCAGTGACGGTATCAAATCCGGCGCTCTGTAAATCATCTAACACACAGCAGATGTCGGTGTCGGACACCATCAGCTTGCCCTTCTGCTGCTGGATTAGCAGGTGGTCGAGAAAATCGCGCGGACTGGACTCGTTCAACGTCTGTCGGTGTTCCTCGAGTAATTTCATGTGCCAGCCCACCATCGTTTGTACGAGTCCTTTTAATTCTTTGGCTTTACCGCTGGTGACGCAGGCGAGCGATGGAAACCAGTCCACAAGCAGACATGATCCTAGCTCCAACCTTAAAGTAAAACGATACAAGTTCACGTTACAGAGCCCTTCCTCCATTTCTCTCTCTCTCTCTCTATTTCTTTCTCTTTTTTTCTTCCTTATTCCCTCACTCTCTCTATCTCTCTGATTACCCTTTTATCCACCCTTCCCTCCTCCCTTAACTCCTCCCTATTTGCACTCGCTCTCTCATTTCTCTACTTCTCTCTCGACTGTTTCCTCGTTTACTATTCACATTCCCAATTCTTTCCTTTGCTATCTTTCTCTCTACTTATCTCTGTTTCTTTCTCCTACTATATATATATATATATTCATCTCTCTCTCTCTCTCTCTCTCTCTGCCTCTGTCTAATTTTGGTATTTTTCTGTGTTTCACGCTCCTCCATCCCAATCTATCGCTATTTCTCTCTTCATCTCTTTCAGTCTCGCCACATCTTCAAAGTCCATGCCCTCTCTCTCTCTCTGTCTCTCTCTCTCTCTTTGTTTCTGTCTGTCTCGTTCTCTCGCTGTTTCTCCCCCATCTCTCTCGTTATTAATGATTGCACTTCACTTAATCTAGTAATTTTCTAGTAGACAACGTAGGTACAGACCTCTGGGCAAACGTGGCCGCCCATTTCAAGTACTGCTCGTCTCGCTGTTGGAATATTTTCCCATTGAGCCACAAACCGATGATGTTGACGTAACAAAACTCGATCACGTGATGTGGGTCGAACGGTTTACCATTTTCACTGTCGACGTCCTGCATTAGCAACGCGACTTCACTCGCTATAATCGTGTTAAACTTTTCGGCGACTTCAGGAATGGCCGGATTCAAAGCCGCGCGCACCACTTTGATTTTCTTTCGTTGCTTCTCGGAGGCTCGAGTGAATGCCACACCGTGGTGTTGGTTTCCAGCCTCTTCCAACTTAAAAGAGAAAAGTTCGGGCCGGTCGGCAAAGATGTGTCCCTTCTCTACGATAGCCTCCGCCCACGTTTCGCAAGTGTTGACAACAACCGCGCGTTTCTCGCCGAGGTTCAAACTGAATATGTCGCCGTATCGCTCCGACATCTTGTTGAAAAAGATCTCCGGTCGGTTGCCGAGTTCGAACATGCTGCCGACGACGGGCCACCCGCTGGGGCCGGGCGGTGGGTTACCCCGCCAGCGGTTTGGTCTCAGTAGCAAGTAGCCAACAAACAAAGCTAGAACCACGCTAGCCAGGTTCATAGGCGCGAACCACGTTGCTACACTTACAACAGCCATCGTTAGAGACGTGAAGTTGTGAACCCTCTCCTAGGTGAGCAGAGTGTCTATGAAGTGCTGCGTTTGCCCCGGGCTGCATTAAATTCTCACTCGTCAAGCACGCGGTGCAAAGAAATATAGGCGTGATTTTTTCTATCCGGACGCTGTCAGTGCAACTGCACTGTTAGCATTTTCATGGATATAAAAGATGCGTCGCGCTTGCAAAAAGCATGAACAAATTTTTAAACAAAATAGGCGATTATTATAGGTATTTGCTTATAACTGCAGCTCACGTACGAGTCTATTTCTCCCTTCGCTCCCTCTTTTCTTATTAACTAACTCTCTGGTTCCCTCTCTCCTTCTCTTTCTTTCTTTCTCTTTCTGTCCCTCTACCTATCTATAGGTCTATGTATCTCTCTTGCTCGTTATTTCACACATACGCACGCACATACACACACACACACACACACACACACACACACACACAGAGAAGGCGAAAAAATTCACAAGTATTTTTATGATAACATTTCTAGCTTTATTTAATATACATTTTTTCCTCGAGAACCAACTATTACGGATGAATGATTACAAGGAGAATGCTATTGAGATGTGCAAAGTAAACCAAGTCGTTTGACTCTGTTAACCATCACCAATTAATATGCGTTATTCTATTTGTTTTTTTCAAGAGGTGGCGTTTATCGTGCAATAGCTCTAATCTTAAAAGGAAGCGGATGCTGCACAAGACTGTCGCGTCTGCCGACAGGGAGAGCTGTGACGCCCTCTGGTAGCTGAAATGTGAAACGCTGCAACAGGTTCGCCATGACAGTAAACATCGTATCGCGAGCGAGTTGCATGCCGGGACATATTCGGAATCCGTTACCAAACAGCATCATCTTTTTATCCGGTGCCACGACGACTCCGTTCTCATCCAGATACCTAGACGGGTCAAAACTCTGCGGCTGTGGGAAATTGATGGGATTCATAGCCATCTTGGCGTCGTTGATCAGTAAAATGGTATCTTTCGGTACATCAAAGCCTCTCAATGTCGTATCAGACAACGTGCTACGTGGAGTAGGTACCGGGAGAATCATTCCTACACGCTGAATCTCCCAAAGCGTAGCCTCTATGTAAGGCATGTTGCGGCGATCCTTCGTCATCGGTGCCCTGCCGCTGCCGACGACGTCGTCGGTCTCAGCCTGCAGCTTCTTCTGCACGTCTGGATTCTGCAATTCTAAGTTCGCGTTACAGAGCCCTGTAAGGAAAGGACGTGCTGGAAGGAAAGGACGTGAGACACATAAATAAAGACATGATATTTCCTCCAGGCACTGCCCGTGCAACTGCACTTCTAGNCTCTCTCTCTCTCTCTCTCTCTCTCTCTCTCTCTCTCTCTTTGTTTCTGTCTGTCTCGTTCTCTCGCTCTTTCTCCCCCATCTCTCTCGTCATTAATTATTGCACTTCACTTATATCTAGTAATTTTCTAGTAGACAACGTAGGTACAAACCTCTTGGCAAACGTGTCCGCCCATTTCAAGTACTGCTCGTCTCGCTGTTGGAATATTTTTCCATAGAGCCACATTCCGAGGATGTTTATGTAACAGAACTCGATCACGTGATATGGGTCGAACGGTTTACCATTTTCATTAGCGACGTCCTGCATTAGCAACGCGACTTCACTCGCTATAATCGTGTTAAACTTCTCAGCGACTTCAGGAATGGCCGAATTCAAAGCCGCGCGCACCACTTTGATTTTCTTGCGTTGCATCTCGGATGCTCGTGTGAATCCCACACCGTGGTGTTGGTTTCCAGCCTCTTCCAACTTAAAAGAGAAAAGGTCGGGCCGGTCGGCAAAGATGTGTCCCTTCTCTATGATAGCCTCCGCCCACGTTTCGCAAGTGTTGACAACAACCGCGCGTTTCTCGCCGAGGTTCAAACTGAATATGTCGCCGTATCGCTCCGACATCTTGGTTAAAAAGATCTCCGGTCGCTTGCCGAGTTGGAACATGCTGCCGATGACGGGCCACCCGCTGGGGCCGGGCGGTGGGTTACCCCGCCAGCGTTTTGGTCTCAGTAGCAAGTAGCCAACAAACAGGGCTAGAGCCACGATAGCCAGGTTCATAGGCGCGAGCCACGTTGCTACACTTACAACAGCCATCGTTAGAGGCTAGAAGTTGTGAACGCTCTCCTATGTGAGCAGTCGGTTTATATACGGTGCTGCGTTTGCTCCGCGACCTGTATTAAATACCCACTCGTCAATCACGTGAGATATAGAAATATAGACGTACTGTTTTTTTATCCGGTCGCTGTCAGGTCAACTACACTTTGAGTATATGTAGGGCTAGCTAAAAAATGGTGCATCACGCGTACAGAGCATGATTTTTATAGGCATTTATTTATAAATTCAGGTCACGCTCGAGACAGTTTATCTCTCCCCTCTCTCTCTCACTTCCCTTACTAATATTGTATTCAGCAAACGGTGGCGACAGGATGCGACGCTTGGCACGTCACACTTTGCGCCGGGGATGGGTGCCGCGCGCCACACCTACGAGCCAAGGTCCGGCCGATAATGAAGAAAAACCGCGGTCGGATTCAAATGTCGCCGGGCGGTTTTCGGAAACGTATAGGCACGGACGAAAGATTATAGAGAGTCATTACCCAGAGGAAGAGACGAGAGACGATGTAGTGGAGTTAGACGAAAACAGAGATGACGGTGTCTATAGGTCGCCGTAGTGTATATATATTTGTATTGTGTTTACTAATAAAGTCAGTCTTCAAGAACAATTTCTGCGACTACATCGTTTTTACTCTTTGCTACAATCTGCTACCATTTGCTAACTCGACGCTGCTACGATGCCGGAGCGGAGATCACCAACATTACAACTCTACGATTCTACGATGCCGGAGCGGAGAACAACAATTTTTCCCAGTACAACACTAACTCTCAGGTTCTCTCACTTTCTCTCTCTTCTCGATTTTTTTCGCTATCCGCCCCTCTATCTATCTATAGATCTGCGTATCTCTCTCCCTCGTTCCTTCACACACACACACACACACACACACACACACACACACACACACACACACACACACACACACACACACACACACACACA